TAAAAAAAAAAAAAAACTCACTAACCCACTAAAAGATAGCTTGTAACTTTATTCTCTTAAGCCCCAAATATACCATTGAAGTCTGGTTCTGCTGTGATCACAGGCTTCACCGTAACGGAGTGATTAAAGCTTAAACCATGAAACAAATCCAATGCTGAGTCATCGCTAATTAAAGTCGAAAGAAAACAAAAGGGTTAGTTGTCTCGTGCCTAATTTCCATTTAATAATAATAATAATAATAACAATAGTAATAATAATAATGATGATTTAGAGGTTCATTAATTGAAAATAAAGACACTCTTTGATCTGCTAATTTCAAATAACTACTTAGTTTAGCCAGCGACTACTATAGCGTTGTATAAATACACATAAACAACTAATTCATTCATGATACATACAATACAATTATGAAGACTGTAGCAGTGAAATAAAGCAAGCATGACTGACTTACAGCCACCGCCGCTCAGCTAGGAATATAATAGACCATGTTTTTTAATATTGACGTTCTTGGTGCGGTTTATGAAAACTCCATTTTAGGGCATATCGAGCAAGCCATCATAAATGTACTCGATCGGCGTACGCAAAAAGTTTTGAAAAATGCTTGGTTGGTGAATATTTAATATATACACACTCAGTGTTCTTGGTATTTAAATCAATCGGATTGGCTCGCTACCTCGGACTATTAAGCAATTATTTAATGAGGCTTAGTATGATGTGAAGAATTGCATGAAGTTAATTTATGACAACGGAAAATGAAAGCAAACGTTTGCGTGAATTCTTCTTTGCAAGTATTAAAACAGGAAAAAGAATAGTACAAAAAACGTTGCCTGACCTCGAGGAAACGGTCCGCTACTGTCAGCACTTGAGAAAGAAACCTTTTTCACTATCTTGGTAAGTTGACAAAAAAAAAAAATTAAAACAAGGCTCTACTTCGTCTCAGGAAGAAAGCAATTTAAACTTTTGACTCCTTCATTTAAAACTATCACGCTATTGTTTGCGAAAGGATTGAAAGTGCGATTTGCTTTGTTTGTTTAAGAGTGTCTAATTGTCACGGGTCGCGGGTCCAGAAAATTGTCGCGGGTTCAAAAATAAGCGGATCTTTAATTGTTTTGACTGAATAACAAATTTTAAGATTATTCTAACTGATGACACTGATTCAAATTGTAATTGATAAAATTTTGTATACGTTCATTCCTATCTTTTGTAGACTAATTATAGGTCAACAAAATTACAAACTGGAGAACCATTATCTTTGAAAGCAATTGTGACAGCTCTGATTCTAGCTGGTGGTTTTAAATTGGTCCAATGTGGTACCTAATTTATGCTTTGTTTTTGCGGACAAAAATAAAACCTCGTTTCTGTGACGAAATTTTGTTCTTAAGGAACATAAAGCCCTTTAATGGTGACAGTAACTTCATCGTCATTTTGTACTTTTCTACAAGTCTGGCATCTTGGTACTTATCCTCTTTGCTTTTTCATTTTTTCTAAAGTCCAGACCTGTTCGTTTTTATTTCGAGGGTCATTTAAAAGAAGATCCTGTATTATTTCTCTACTAGTTTTTTTCTGTGGCCTTTTTAAATGCAAGGCTCTGCGGTATGACTTTTGCCCACGTAATGTTTACTATTGCTACATGCATGCATATTTTTACTCATGAATTGAACCGTCAATCACAATAATAGAGGTTTAATGGTTCTCATTCTGATTCCGTTGAGATCCCAAATTAGAAACCACAAAAGTTAAGGGCCACACTAACCACATTGAGCTGGTCAAAATCTCATGCAGTAGACTCTTGTGATAAATATTTTCAAGTGCATTACACTCCTGAATTACAAACGTGTTACGTGTAAACAAGAGATTCCTTCTAGAACTGGTATATTTGCTTGTAACCGGTCCTATCCTTCTCTCTTGACGCGTAAAAAGGTCCTTAAAAACACTGTTGAACTTTTAGCCTTTTGATTTATGACTATAATGCGAAATTTAACAGCGTCCACTGGACTATTTCGGGTGGAAATTGAATTCAATTTTTCACTTTCATGGTTAATAAATTGTGTTCAGAGTTGTCAGTCAGGCGTGAGAAAATGTCTTGTATGTGAGTGATCGATGGTTTCGATTCCGTTGGAGTGTGACTCACCCATTAAGACCCTGTTTACATGGAGTGGGGGACCCTGGTCTAGTGGGGTAAGTTTCTTTTGCTTTGTGTCCCGCAGAGCGTGAAAACAAAAGAAACCAACCCCACTAGACCTGGGTCCCCCACTCCATGTAAACAGGCCCTAAGTCGGCATGTGAGTTGGCAGGTCACGTCGGAATGACCTATGCACTCATACAACCTACAAACCTGCATGAATCTGAAAACGCTTTTGTCGCACCCTACAGGATCGACATGCAGATGGTCGCGTGATGCCAAAAATCGATTCGCAGCAGGATTGCGAGTTGATATCTCTTGAGGAAGACAATGGAAAAACCACAATGAAATTTAAAAGAAAACTGGACACATGCGATCCTCAAGACAATAAAATTGAGGTACGTGCATACTAGACATTTGTCAGCTTCTTAACGATTAATGTTAAAATTTAATTGTATAAACCAAAATTTCAATAAAAGAGATTTAAAAGCCGTGACGTGCGCGTTGCCCTGAATCTTTACAGGGCGGCATATTTGGTTTATCGCATGTGTATTATTTAAGACCCTTAACCCTTTTCGGACGGCTAGGGTCGTATACGACCCATGTAAAAAGATGTTAATACATTTCGCCCTCACTTTAAGTCAACAACGTCAGAAAAGATATATCTTTCTAGCGATACCTCGTTTTGGATATTTTGACCAATCCTGACATAGTTACACTCACAAAAAAAGGTAACATCTTGGGGAAAATTTCACTGCCAATTTCGCTGCTTACATACTACTCTTTGAAAATTAAATTTGTCCCTTTCCTAAAAAGCTAGCAAGCCACAATTCCATGCAAAAGAAAGACGATAAAGTGGGCAACAAAACCACCGATAAAAAAAAGAAAAGAAGGAAAAAAAGAGAGCGAGAGAGAAAGATTGAAATGGATTCGCAAAAAAGGTCCACATTTTGGCTTTTGCGCATGCGTGAAAAACCAAAAAGATCTTTAATTACGCCAGGTCAGTCAGAAAATAACCTTTTTTCTTGCAAAACTCGTTTTTATCCATTCTTATGCTAATTAACCGAAAACCAGTCCAAAGAAGAGGAATTGGTCAAAAATAAGTTTTTTTCGCTACTCACCGGCCGTCGCCAAAGGGTTAAAGACGACAAATAGATTAGATAAATAATTAGAAAGCAGGCGATGCGAATTTTGAACGTGGGCGTCTCTAAACCTAGTTTTTTACTTCCTCAACAAGTTTCGTACGCTAACAGTGATTCCTTCTCCTTAGCCACTAAACCTGATAAACTGACAGTGACGCTGCTGTTTACTAAGTGATTAGAATGGTGGCTGAGACTTTGACAACACTTTCAATTTTCAGGCAGGTACAATGAAAGTGATCTATGCTTACCACCCAGAAGATCCAGTCTCAGAAAATTCCATTCTACAACACAGCCTTGGAAACCGTGGGCAAAGGAGTGTGTATCTGCTAAACAACGCCAACAAAGAACCAACTCTGCCACCTGATACTAAAACCTTTGATATAAGGCACAATATGGTAATACTTTGTGTCGTTTTAGTTTTATTCAGAATAGCGTGGTAAACTTTTCATAAAGAAAGCGTGAAAAAATTGAAGATAAGAATAGGCTGTTTAACGACGTTTAAATATTACCTAAAGGTGGCTCCGACACAGTTTCTCTGAGATAGAGTTGCAGACTCTAGGAAATTTCCCTGACGCAATTCTTTTCGGGCGCACAAAAGTCTGACGTGATGTAAAGAGTAATAAAAACTAGAAATACTTAATTCCTTTACTGTTAACCCCTTTACCATAAGAATATTTGCATTCAATGAGCTTTTCAAGAAAAAAATGTGAGGACAAGCTCATAAAAATGCCCAGAAGTTGTCAGTCGAAATCTATTCTGTTTTCGTCGCTTTTGTCATAACGCACGAGTGATCTCAGCGCGCAAACATGGGTTATCTGAGTTTTAAAGATATACATTATTATTGTTTTGTCTTTTAGACTGTCATTCCTAAAGATGGAACTAGCTACATTTGTAAAGTATTTGAAATCCCTAAACTCAATGAAACCCATCATATCGTTAAGGTGAGATTCTACGCGAAATGAAGGAGAAGGAAAATGATAATAATAACAACAACAACAATATTGATAATAATAATAATGATGATGATAATAATAATAATAAGGGTTTATTACAAATCACGAGCTAGGACCCTACTGTGGATTACTGTGTTTACAAAATAAGGTAAAGGTAATGATATTCGACTACAAACTGCAAAATATACAATCCGTTGACTTACTTTGATTTGTAAACTTAGATTGAACCTGTCATTCAAGCGGGCCACGAGGGTGTGGCTCACCACATACTGGTGTACGATTGCAGTGATAACTTTCCAAAGCACCTATTGAACTATACTGGTAGATGTTATGCTTCCAACATGCCTCCTCAAATTAGAGAATGTACTGGACTCTTAACCATTGCTGGCTGGGCTATAGGTGGTAAAGTAAGTAGCTATATAATGACTGATGATAAAATATTAATATTAAAGACTTAGATGCGGCGATCATGTTTTCAACGAATGTTACGAATAAACAAACAGAAAACAATAAACAGACAAATTGTTTCGAAAACCCATAAGTTTACCGTTAAAAGCAATTCACGTAACACTGACTGGATCGTCAGAATCCATTTCCACAAGTAAAATCGGCTGAGCACATGAGACAATTAACACTAAAATGATCTGTCTCAGATCGGGCGCATTTCCCAATTTTTCTTGAAAACTCTATCAAAAATATATAAAACCTCTATGAAACATTTATAAATACATAAATTTCCTTTCATCATCTTACTTTCCTTGAGCATAATGTGTAAATTGAAAGTTTTAAATTACCTGAAAATTTTGTTAAACGGTTGCTTACTTGATCGCAGTTCAGAAAAGGACAAGCGCTCCGCCGTGAAAGAAACAGGGTCGAAGTCCTCGAAGGTAAAATTTCGCAGCTTAAGACTTTTCTGTGTCCCCCAAAAGAAAGAAAAAAAAACTTTTACATGTCGCACGTCTAATCAAAACTGCCATACGTGTGTTCGCGTACCGTTCTGAATAAATTAAAAAATCTACACTCACACACACAAAAAAGATTCCTTTCCGACTTCGTCGGCGCCGTATGCAACGTTTCTGCAAAGCTTGCCATATCATTTTGTTTGTAGTCACCATGCTGGTTTTGCTGAATGAGAACAGAAGTTGCAGATAACTGGTTTGTCGAGGCAGATAAGTTTGCAGCTAGTAGCCTGAGGATCGATGATCTTTGTTGGTCAAAGAGGCGGCAAACACATTTTGCTGATTTCGGCGAGAGGCTTTGCGATATCGTGAAGGAATGTAAACATCCTTGTCTTATTTCGTCGTTGGTCGATGTTTTCAAGCCATACCGCTTATAACTTTGTGGCTCTTTATGTTTTCCCAGGGTTGCATTTTATTATTTGCATAATTACCTTATCTTTTTTTCTACGAAACGATTTCTTTCGGTTGTAGACATACACGTATAAGCGTTGCAAGCTCAAAGCTTGAATTCTCTGATTCCATATTTGGGCAAAATAATTTCCCGCCCTTCTGATTGGACGGGTGCGTCGGCTAAAAAACCCGAGCATGGTTCTAAACAGACAAGGGGAATTTAGATACTTCGGGGTTATATGCTTCTGGTAATATACAACGTAGAAGAATAATAACAGTGAGCAGATACTCACTGTCATTAGCCATCAGAAAGCTCAAGGCTTGTACAAAAAAGTCCCCCCCCCCCATTTGATCACTGGTTGAAATAATTTAGGACTGGGAGACAGAAGGATACAACAGACTTCAGTCTGTTTCAAAGGTACGAGAAGGAAAGTTATGAAGATGCATTTAAAATATTAAGCAAAACTTCTTTATTTTATTTATTTTATTTACCAATTAGGTCTGTCGCTCAATACTGAGCATTTTAGACCGCTTTAAGAATGAAAACAAAAGTGTCTGAAATGACGCTTTTAAGCGCAAAGTAATGAAGTATTAATAAATGTTTAAAATTGCATTTTTAAAAGCAGTCAGTGAATTGGGCAATGCTGTTTCCCTTGGGAGTTGATTCCATTCTGTAGTTGTCTTTGGTAGAAGGGATACTTGGGCTGTCGGCTATGTGTAAGAGTAATCTTTGGAGCGAGTTAAGTACGAATGACCAGTCGATTGTAGTTTGGCATCTCAGTGAGAGACTAGCCTGTATCGCATTTTATACAACATGCTATGGTTCGCTTATGGTTGGTTCGCGTGCCATGGTTCGCCTACTTTTTAGTGTCTTCCAATTTAGGGTTGAAAGCATTTCGATGGCAGTATCTGTCGAAGCGATTTAAAACAAAGCGTGCAGCTCTCGTTTGGACCATCTCAACTGTGTTACTTGTGTTTTTAGCTGTAGTGGATCCCACACAGACGAACAGTATTCCAGAGTTGGGCGTACTAGGGCCTGTATGCCGTTTCCTTAGTCCTAGGTCACAGGGCAATGTAAATCCGCTTTAGAAAGTCTAGAGTTTTGTTGGCTTTGTTGGAGATGGTTTTTATATGTTCGTTCCAACGGATGTCGTCAGATTATAGGTAGACACCAAGCCGGTATTTGTCAGAATGCAGTAATTCCAAGACTTGTCCTTTAAGCTTATAGACATGAACATATGTATTACACTTTCTCGTGATGCGTAAAACGTTACACTTGAAGTATTGAACCCCATCTTTCAATCAGATTCCCACTTTTCCAGATTAAGGAGACCTTCAAGTTGTAACTGGATACAACGATCCGTGGATTTGATGGCTAAATAGATCATGGTATCGTCTGCGAGGAGACGAAATTTAGATTTCACATACTTGGAAAGAATAAAATGGGACCTTAAACGGAGCCCTGTGGGACTGCCGATGACACTAGAACTTGAACAGACATTGCTCATTCAAGAACGACCCGTTGTTTCCTATTTGATAGAAAGCTCTTTAACCAAGTTAAGGCAACGTTCTTGATTCCGTAGTTTGACAGTTTGTAGAGCAGTTCCTGGTGCGGCACTTTATCAAATGCCTTTGAGAAGTCCGTTACTATAACATCCGATTGTCCACCATTTTGCATTTCCTTGGGCAAGTCATCCGCCAATGCGATTAGCTGGGTTTCGCATGAGTGACCTTCAAGAAATCCGTGCTGGAGGTTGCTTAGTATTTGGTGTTGGTCAAATTGATGCATAATGTTGGATACCATGATATGCTCCATAGTTCTACTGCAAATACAGGTTAATGAAAAAGGCCTGTAGTTTTCAGTAATCTGTTTTGATCTTTTGTTGAAAAGTGGCGTGACATTTGCAGACTTCCAGTCCGATGGGACAACACCAGACTCTAATGAGGCCTTTAAGATTCTACATAAGGCTGGAGCGATAGATGAGCTTAACTCTTTTAAGACTTGGGGGTGTAAGTTATCAGTACCGGGAGATTTGTGTGGATTTAGCTTGATTAGTAGTTTTCTGATTCCATTTATCGTGATAGCAATAGAGGGCATTATTCGAAGGCTGGTTTGATCTGCAAATAGATTTCTCACTGAAGCGTTAACTCCGTGCTTGATTTATCCCCCTGGACTCAGGAAAGATACTCTTAAAGTGTGTGTTTAACAATTCTGCTTTATCTTTCGCCTCAGATAGGACAGAGTTCCCGCATTTGACTGTTGGGATTGCCCTCATATCAGTACGGGAATGCTTAATAAAAGGCAAAAAGCGTTTGCCAAGTACGGATATTCCCCTCTATCGCTATCACTGAATATAATGTTAACATAAGTCCAGTAAGATTGGCGAATCCTCCTTTGAACTCTACGCCTAATATAAGGGACTTGTGATGTTGAGTATCTCTAGATTTGTAAGATTCGTTTTTCATTTTGAAGTATTTGTCAAGTTTTCGTATTAGTTTCTTTGGCTCAGAGTTACTGGTAAGTGGTTCTTTTGCTTTGCAATTTTGGATGGAATAGATTTTTCAATGCCCGAATTAAGTAACTGAACAAATGACTTCCAGCGTGACTCAACGTCCACACTGGCTTCGCAGTCCATTGTCTCCTGTTCAGCATGAACACTATAAGAGCCTTCCATGTGAGCTCTAAGGCCATCCCAGTCAGCTCTTTTCAAAAGGTAGATCTTTCTTCGTGTGTGTTTGTTGACGATTGGGGAAATATTGCCTTCCACAAGAACAACATCGCGATCTGCTAAATCAGGTAGAACTTTAACATTCCGGAACAGGGATGGATTATTGCAAAGGGACAAGTACAAGGTGTTGTTTGGCAGTGATGGTTGAGTAACAAGTTGTGTGAGGCCGTTGTCGTCCATCATATCTAGGAAGTGTTCATGCAATGTTGGAGAATTACAATTTTGCTTAATAGTGTGCCAGTTGACCAGTCAAGGCCACGTTGATTAAAGTCACCAGCTAGCCAGAGATGGCATTTTTCATGACTTATCCTGTTTAGGGATTCATTTAGATGCTCTAGGCTAACTTCCTCACTGACATTAGGACAGTAATATGAGCAAATACAGTCGAACCTCTTTAATACGGACACCGAAGGGACAGAGCGAAGTGTCCGTATTAGAGAGGTGTACGTATTAGAGAGGTCACTGTGATGACAACACTTTTTGTACGGAGATGATCATTGTGTGTAAATTTCATGACCCTAGCATTATTGGTTCCAGAGATACAGAGGGGGGGTCCGAGGTGCCCCCCCTAGTCATAGATTGACCAAAAAAGCCCAGTCTGAATAGGGTTAAAGCACGGCACGTAAAGCACTTTTTTGTAAATTCTGTTCAAGATGATCAAACTGTATTGCAGTTATACGTTAGTAAGGATATAATTATCAGGCTATAATAAATGGAATAATTTGGTGCTGGTAGACAAAATATACCGTGACGTAATTTATTCCGACAGATTTTTGCTATTTTGCCGCAGATAAAATTTGTGTTTGATTTCCAGCTAAAGATTTTCGTAATACACTTAGAAATTTAGTTTTCTGTTTTTGTTTAGGTTGCTCATTATCAAAAAGAGAGATATATGGCTCGATAATTTTTCTTTTGCCAAGGTTTAAATCTGATAAACTGGTCTCCTTAATATTGACTGATAATTATTTATTTGCCTTTCTCCACGTAGCAATGCTATCAAGCACTATATCTGTTTTATGACCTCGTGCGCATCGATTACCATAGCCGAAGCCATCGAATAAGTTTGGGAATATTCTTATTCTTGAACGGAGTCATATTTGTTATTTTGTAAGCAAAATAAATGCTTTCATCGGTTTTCCTTTTAATATACAACTTGTATGTAGGCAGATGTGGTGGGGAGAATCTCAGGGAACTCCGATACCTAGGGCTAATGGATCAGCATTTAAGCATTTTCTCAGCTTAAGTACCTGTGCTTGATTACCCTGCGTTCACCAGACTCGTGTAGGTAGACGGATACAAGAAAGATAGAAGCAGTTTTAGAAAAAAAGGTAAACAGGGTAAAAGCTTCAAAGCTGTTAAAAATATTGATTCCATACTAGTATTCTATTTTTTAAAGGCATTCTATTACCCGGAACACGTTGGATTCGCCATTGGAAAAGCAGATAGTCCAAAGGTTGTCTTCCTCGAAGTCCACTATGACAACCCTCAACATTTGGAAGGTACTGAAAACTTGGTAATGGGTTCATCATAACCGTCACGAATATAGACACATTCCAATATGACCACTTTGCCCACTATGATAAGCTTGATGTTTGGTGTAGTTGGAGTAATTACAGTAATGGGTGTATTTGCTGTAGCTGGTGTAGTTAGAGTAGTTCGTGTAGTATATGTAGTTGCTGTAGTTACTGTAGGCTGTGCAGTTACTGTAGTTGCTGTAGGTAGGTGTAGTATATGTAGTTGCTGTAGTTCGTGTATTATATATAGTGGGTGTAGTTGCTGTAGTATATGTAGTTGGTGTAGTTGCTGTAGTATATGTAGCTGGTGTAGTATCTGTAGTTGTTGTAGTTGGTGTAGTCGCTGTAGTTAGTGTGGTAGGTGTAGTTAGTGTAGTTGCTGTAGTTATTGTAGTTGGTGTAGTATGCGTAGTTGGTGTAGTTGATGTAGTTAGTGTAGTTGATGTAGTATGTGTAGTATGTGTAGTTGGTGTAGTTAGTGTGGTTGGTGTGGTATATGTAGTTGGTGTAGTTGCTGTAGTATATGTAGTTGCTGTAGTTGGTGTCGTTACTGTAGTTAGAGTAGTTAGTGTAGTTGCTGTAGTATATGTAGCTGGTGTAGTATGTGTAGTTGTTGCAGTTGGTGTAGTTGCTCTAGTTGGTGTGGTAGGTGTAGTAAGTGTACTTGCTGTAGTTGCCGTAGTTAGTGTAGTTAGTGTAGTATGTGGAGTTGGTGTAGTTTGTGTAGTTGATGTAGTGAGTGAAGCAAGTGTGGTTGGTGTAGTATATGTAGTTGATGAAGTATATGTAGTTGCTGTAGTTAGTGTAGTTGATGTAGTATTTGTAGTTGGTGTAGCTTGTGTAGTTAGTGTGTTTGGTGTAGTATATGTAGTTGGTGTAGTAAGTGTAGTTGGTGTAGTATGTGTAGTTGGTGTAGTTTGGGTAGTCGTTGTAGTTTGTGTGGTCGGTGTAGTATATGTAGTTGGTGTAGTATATGTAGTTGGTGTAGTATATGTAGTTGGTGTAGTTTGTGTAGTTACTGTACATAGTGTAGTTGGTGTAGTTAGGGTAGTTACAGTAGTTTGTGTAGTTGCTGTAGTTACTGTAGTTATCGTACTTTGAGTAGTTGCTGTAGTTAGGGTAGCATGTGCAGTTGCTGTAGTTTGTGTAGTTAGTGTAGTTGCTGTAGTATGTGTAGTTAGTGTCGTTAGTGTAGTTGGTGTAGTATGTGTAGTATGTGTAGTGGCTGTAGTTGGTGTAGTTTGTATGGTTAGCGTAGTAATTTTTTTGTGTAATTAGCGTAGTATATGTAGTTGTTGTAGTTGGTGTAGTTTGTGTAGTTACTGTAGTTAGTGTTGTTGGTGTAGTTGCGGTACTTCGTGTAGTTGGTGTAGTATGCGTTGTTGGAGTAGCTACTGTAGTTACTGTAGTTTGTGTAGTTGCTGTAGTTACTGTAGTTGGTGTCGTTGACGTAGTTGCTTTAGTTAGTGTAGCTGGTGTAGTATGTGTAGTTGGTGTAGTGTATGTAGTTGGTGTAGTTAGTGTAGTTAATGTAGTTGTTGTAGTTGCTGTAGTTGCTGTAGTTGGTGTAGTTGCTGTAGTTAGGGCAGTTGGTTTAGTATAGTAGAAGAAAGTTGATGACTTGCTGTAGTATGATAAGTTAATGTTTGGTGTAGTTGGTGTAGTTAGTGTAGTTGATGTGGTTGGTCTAGTTAGTGTTGTTGGTGTTGTTACTGTAGGTGCTGTAGTTCGTGTAGTTGGTGTAGTTAGTGTAGTTACTGTAGTTAGTGTAGTTGGTGTAGTTGCAGTACTTAGTGTAGTTGGTGTAGTTGGTCTAGTTAGTGTAGTATGCGTAGTTGGAGTAGTTACTGTAGTTTGTGTAGTTGCTGTAGTTACTGTAGTCGGTGTAGTTGACGTAGTTGCTGTAGGTAGTGTAGCTGGTGTAGTAAGTGTAGTTGGTGTAGTTGCTGTAGTTAGTGTAGCTGGTATAGTATATGTGGTTGCTGTAGTTAGAGCAGTTGGTTTAGTATAGTAGAAGAAAGTTGATGACTTGCTGTAGTATGATAAGTTAATGTTTGGTGTAGTTGGTGTAGTTAGTGTAGTTGATGTAGTTAGTGTAGTTGCTGTAGCTGGGGTGTATTTAGTGTAGTTGGTGTAGTATGTGTAGTTGGTGTAGTATGTGTAGTTGCTGTAGTTACTAAAGTTTGTGTAGTTACTGTAGTTGGTGTAGTATATGTAGTTGGTGTAGTTAGTGTAGTTGGTGTAGTTGCTGTAATTGCTGTAGTTGTAGTTCCTGTAGTTGCTGTAGCTACTATAATTTGTTTAGTTACTATAGTTGTGTAGTTCGTGTAGTAGCTGTAGTCTCTGCAGTTACTGTAGTTGGTGTAGTTGGTGTAGTTAGTGTAGTTAGCGTAGTTGCTGTAGTTACTGTAGTTTGGCGTAGTTGGTGTACTTTGCTTTAGTTTGTGTAGTTTGGTGTAGTTGTTGTAGTTTTTGTAGTTATACAAGATTTATTCTAACAGATATTAACCAATATTAGGTATATCCCAACTTACGTGAACACCAAAAAAACTATTGTGTGTGTCATCGGCGCTTTCTCTGTTTAATATATATATATTTTTTATGATGAAGGTGCTGTTGTTTGCTTAATGAAATTATGTTGCTTTGTTAACTCGCTTATTTTGAAATATTACCATAATTGATTTACCTTGTTATAAAGCTTACAAAGGGTAAAGTTATTTTTAGATTTCTTTTGCATTATGTTGGGTAGATGATCGCAGTAATAAACACTTCATCGGTATAATACCGTAAAGTTTCGGAAAGTAACGATTGAGCCTCCCAAAAAAGCAACCCACAGAAAGTTGCGTTAGATTTCACAGGTGTTAGCAAAACACCACCATTAATTTCCTACAGCAACTACAGTAACTACACCAAACTACATCAACCTACACCAACTACACCAAATTACACCAAACTACACCATCTACACCAAACTACACCTACTACACCATATACACCAAACTACACATACTACACAAAAGTACACCAGCCAGCTTTCTAGACGAACGGACGGGTGAGACGTATTTTTCTGAGCTCCCCATTTCTTTGAGTTCTAAACGTTCTAAAACATGTCAGGTAAATCAAAAAAAGGCCAAAAGAAGCCGTCAAATCAATCTGCTAATCAGACGGCAGCAGAACAAGCGGAATTATCCGAAACCGAAGAAAGTGTGTCTTTCCGGGATGGCAACGAAGCAATAAACATGGCCGCCGGTCTTCAGGATTTTGAAGTAATTCTGACAAGACGGTTGAAGGAGCAATCTGAGTCTATTCACGATATGATGCTTAAGTACTTCAAGCTTTACAAAGATGATATAGACGAAATTAAACGAAGCCAAGCTTTTGTTGACGCCAAATTCGAAAAGGCTAAGAAGGCAACTGAAGATCTAACTTCGGAGAACCGATGAATGATGTAATCAACAAACCGAGCAGAAAAGCAGCTCTGCCAAATTCCTTTTTCTCTGATGGAAAACTGTTAAATGATCCACAAGAAATAGCTAACTGCTTTTGTAAGTTCTTCACCAACATAGGTCCGAATTTAGCAAGGAAAATTCCAGACACACAAGTATCTTTTCGTAGTTTTCTTGGCGCTTCTGTTAATGAGTCGCTTATCTTAAATCCAACTAATATTTCGGAACTAAATCAAATATGCAACTCTTTTAAATCTGGAAAGTCGCCTGGATATGATAACGTTTCAATGGATATAATAAAAAGCACCTTTGATCTCATTTCTCAGCCTTTGGCCAATGTAATCAATTTGTCTCTTATTAAAGGAGTATTTCCTGATGAACTGAAAATTGCTAAACTGATTCCGGTATTTAAAGCTGGTGATTCCCAGTATTTCACTAACTACCGTCCAATTTCGCTTCTTTCTAATTTTTCTAAATTCTTTGAAAGAGTTATGCACAATCGTATTACAAATTTTTTAGATCGTTTAGATATCTTATACTGTTGCCAATTTGGATTTCGTAAAAAATATTCTACAGCGCTGTCTTTAATTCATCTTATTAATAAAATTGCAACTGCTATTGACAGAAGCGAATATACAGTTGGCATATTCTTAGACTTATCAAAAGCGTTTGATACTTTAGACCATCAAATACTCTTGTCTAAGCTTGAGCATTATGGGATTCATGGGCTAGCACTTAGCTGGTTGAAAAGCTATTTGTCAAATCGCGTGCAGTTTGTCCAGTACAAAGAGACTTGTTCTATTAGGCTGACTCTGAGCTGTGGAGTCCCTCAAGGTTCTATATTAGGACCATTATTGTTTGTTTTGTATATCAATGACCTCCCTTGTGCTACTCGTCTTGCTGAAACTATGCTTTTTGCAGATGATACTAGTGTGTTTTATTCTAATCCCGATTTAAATTGTGCTATTTCTGCCGTAAATAATGATTTATCTCAAATTGATCTTTTTATGAAAGCAAATAAGCTCTCTGTTAACATAACGAAAACTAATTATATCATTTTTGCAGCAAGGCAAAAACCAGTCGGCTTCCCAATAAATCCTGTCTTGTACGATGAGGTTTTATTAAAACAAGTAAAGGTAGTTAAATTTTTAGGGGTTTTTATCGACGAGCATCTAACGTGGAAGCCGCATATTACTTATATATGTAAGAAAATTTCAAAATCTATTGGCGTCATGTTTAGGTCTCGTTTCTTTCTTTCTGAAACAACAAAAAAGTCTCTTTATTATACCTTAATTTATCCTTATTTAACATATTGTACCACAGTTTGGTCCTCCACTTATGTAACAAACCTTAATAGAATTTTTCTTCTACAAAAGCGAGCAGTACGAATTATTACAAATGCAGATTTTCGCGCGCACTCTGAACCATTATTTTTCCGTTTAAAGATTTTGGACATATACAACATTAATTCATTCTATACTGCACAATTTATGTTTTCATATTATCATCAATTACTGCCACCGCTTTTTTCGAACCTTTTTGTTACTAGTAGCAATATTCATAATTATAATACTAGAAGTTCCTCGCATTTCCGTTCTCATGCCTGCCGAACTAACACCAAACAATTTTCTATTTTGTTCCAAGGCCCTAAAATTTGGAATTCTTTACCAAACTCAGTCACTTCGATTTTTACATTGCAATCGTTTAAAACGAAAGTTTTTGATTTTCTACTATATCGATAATGCGTCTTGTACTGTCCGTTGTTGTGTGTTGTTATAGTTCTATTGCTTAATATTATTGTAACGAGGGGGCCTCCTCGTACAAGCCTTGTGGTTTTCTGAGGTCCCCTCGCCACATCTTTGTATAATGTAATGCTTGTGTAATCTTTATTGTGGGAAAATAATAAATAAATAAATAAATAAATAAACTACACCGAACTACACCAATTACAGCTATTACATCAACTATAGCAACTACACTAACTACACCAACTACAGATACTACACCAACTAAAGCTACTACAGCAACTACACATACTACGACTACTACATCAACTACACCAACTACAACTTAACTACACCTTCCACAGCAATTACACCAACTACACTAACTACAGCGACTACACCAACTACACCAACTACAGCTACTACACCAACTACACCAACTACACTAAGTACACCAACTACATTAACTACACCAACTAAAGTTGCTACACCAACTACACAAACTACACCAACTACACTAACTACAGCTACCACACCAACTACTGCAACTACACTATTTACACCAACTACACCAACTACACTAACTACACCGGCTACACCAACTACAGCTACTACAGCAACTACGCTAACTACAGCAACTACAGCTACTATACCAACTAAAGCAACTACACTAGGTACACCAGCTACACCAGCTACCGCAACTACGCTAACTACACTAACTACAGCAACTACATCAACTACAGCAACTCCACTAACTACACCAGCTACGGCAACTACACTAACTACACCAACTACACATACTACACATACTACAGCAACTACAGCTACTACACCAACTACAGTAACGACAGCAACTACAGAAACTTCAGGAACTACACCAACCACACCCACTACAGCTACTACAACGACAGCAACTACACTATCTACACCAACTACACCAACCACAGCAACTACACCAACTACGGCTACTACACTAACTACAGCAGCCACACTAAGTACACCAGCTACATTAACTACACGAACTACACATACTACACCAACTACACGAACGACACTAACTGCACATGCTACACCAGCTACACTAACTACAGCAACTACAGCAACTACACAAACTGCCGTAACTACAGTAACCACAGCAACTACACAAACTACTGTAACTGCAGTAACTAAACAAACTACACTAACTACAGTAACTACACAAACTACACCGACTACATATACTACACCAACTACAGCAACTACACCAGCTACAGTTACTACACCAACTACAGCAACTACACTAACTACACCAACTAAAGCTACTATAGCAAGTACAGCAACTACACTAACTACATCAACTACAGCTGCTACACCAACTACAGCAACAACACCAACGACACCAACTACCCTAACTACACCAACTACAGCAACTACACTAACTACAGCAACTACAGCAACTACACCAACTATAGCAACTACATTAACTACAGCAACTACAGCAACTACACTAACAACACCAACTACATCAAGTACAGCAACTACACCAACTACAGTTACTACTCCAACTACACCAACTACACCAACTACAGCTTCTACGCCAACTACACTAACTACACCAACTACAGCTACTACACCAACTACAGCAACTACACTAACTGCCCGAACTACACCAACTACGCTAACTACACCAGCTACACATACTACACCAACTACACTAACGACACCAACTACAGCTACTACACCAACTACAGCTACTACACTAACTACACCAACTACAGCTACTACACCAACTACACCAACTAAACCAACTATACTAACTGCTCCAACTACAGCAACTACACCAACTACAGCAACTACTCTAACTACACCAACTACACTAATTACAGCAACTACAGCAACTACAGCAACTAGACTAAATACACCAACTACACTAACTACACCAACTACAGCGACTACACGAACTACAGCAACTACAGCAACAACAACAGCTACAGCAACTACGCTAACTACACCAACTACACTAACTACACCAACTACAGCAATTACAGCAACTACGGTAACCGTAGTGGGCTGAGTGGTCATGGAATGTCATGTGTCTATATTCGTGACGGTTATCATGAACCCAGGCAGTACGGAAATCTTAGCACGTATAACACATCTCTCGAGTGCCAATTAGATATATACTGACTCTATTTGTCCAAAATAGGTTATTTTAACATAAAACTTTTCTAAGGGCTTTCATAACATCGTTTTAAGTTTTACGCACAAACCGACAAGATACCCACAGTATTATACTACCATGCAGCAGTAAGTTTTTGCCCTTGACAGACGATGTGGTCTGTCCTCTTTCTTGTGATTTTGCTGATTAAATTTGCTTACTATTCATAAGCTATTAATTCACTCATCGTCAATTTGACTAATGGCAGAAATAATATTCGGCCCTAGATGATAAATTTTCATCCACCCAATTTGCATATGGCAGGGACTGAAATTTTTGAAGCATTATTTGGTAATTTAGAACTCATTTGGAGGGGTAAGGAGAGCTCAGTTCAGGGAACTGAGTGGGGAGGGGGGGGAAGGGAAAGTTGAACTCTTTTTCTCTTTTTTATATTATAGCGTCACTTAATATAACTTGAAACGGCTAGGGCTGGAATTTATGTCTGTCCCTTATGGATAAAAATAAACAAACAAACACCCAAAAAAGGAAACAAAACAAAAAGCAAAAAATATATTTCAGGAACTGGTTCAAAACCAACGATGGTAAGGGCAGCGAAGACATTGCTAACTGTGAATTCTTTTCCTGTTTTAATTACTTAATCATTCTTTTTACTCAAAACTTGGTGGGTAGTCAAAGTATTTAATTATGGCGTTTAAAGATATTTTCTTTTTCCCAAAGACCTTCAGTCTGATAAATTTTGTTTTTCTTAAGGAATGATTGATAGTTCTGGGTTGCGGTTTCACTACACTAAACAGTTAAGAAAATACGAGTCGGGAATACTGATGATTGGAGCGAACGTAAACTGGGGAATGGTGATTCCTCCGAGGCAGAAAGACTGGGAAATAAACGGCTTCTGTAGCTCAGATTGCACCCAAAAGGTACTCCATCTACCGATATTTGCTTTTCAATGCAGTAAGGACCTTGCTTGTCCTACAAATTTATAACTAAGAAATTGCATTGGCTTTGTTGATCAGGAGGCAGCTAATTTAGAAGACTTAAATCAGCGTTGTTAGTTGGAGTTGTTGCTGTTTTTTTTCTTAAAATGTATATAGTATTTATATTATATATAAATATATATATATATATATATATATATATTTTTTTTTTACAAACATAAAAGCATTCTTTAGGTCATTATTCTGATTAGGCCTTCAAAAACTTGCGGTCAATTCAGTAAAACTTTTACCGTGTGATTTAAGAGTATAGCTATTGCTCTGCGATGCTCTAAAACAATTAGTTGCCCTTTATCTTACACTCGTAAAATAGAAAAAAAAGTTATTTAATTGAGCTCGCTTTTTTTTTCTATGCGCCAGCAGCTGGCACGTCGCCCCGTCCCTTCCCAATTAGGGAAAGCCCTTACAATAGAATATCAATCAGAGCCAGAACAAGCATGCAATCAAAAGAGCAAAGTTACTGTAGCGTAAGTCTAATAAGGTAGTAAAGAGGTGTGAGGTCACAAAAATTCCAATTCGTGAAATAATGAGATTGGTTGGGATATTCTCAAAGAGGGAGATGAAAGATGCCCACTTGCCGAACTGGCGTGTTAGTGGAAATTGATATGAGATATGCTCTGATGACTCCGTACAAATTCTTCTTAAATTGGCTTGGATCCATCGCAACGTTTACGATCCAGGTCAAATTTAGAAGGATCTGTATGGAGACATCAAAGCATAAAGTTGCATATGGCCCACAAGCGTGCATGATTTTCGTTCTGGTAACATGTAGCATCATCTTTTTTTTGATCAGTGATCAAACATTAGATCTTTTGTGTTTTCAAGTGGATTTTTATAGTCAGAAAAAATCGAAAATATCATATATATTATAATATTTTACAGCTGTTGATAAAAGTAATTAATGCGTTTACTGAAAGCGGTGAAGGTTTCCCTAATTTTCTTCCATGTAATATGTATATATATATATATTTTAAGGGACTGAACGAAACCACGTTACCTGAAGGAGGAATCAACGTATTTTCGGCGCTGTTACATACACATCTAGCCGGTAAGTTTTAATAGAGGTAAGATAGACTGCCACTTTATAAAAGACGAGCAAATATACCATTTTCATCTCCAAAAACTTGAAGAATACAGTGAGTACGTGATAAAATGAAGCCAGAAATGCTCAGATCAGGGGCACCCAACGACGAATGCATTCTAAGAGGCGCTGTAAAATTTGTATCTGTTCGTTGATCCTAGGGGAACCGGAGTCTTTTCGAAATTACAAGGGCTTCAATATTATCTTCCCGAAAATTTTAGATGCAATATGAAGTATCACGGAAGTGAGACATTTTCTCATTTCTCTCTCCATCGCATTTTTTAGTCCGAAAAGTTTAGGTTTCCTTTTTTCTACGAAAAATAAGCTAACTTGGGAAGTGAAATGTGAAAATTAAAGATCAGAAAATCATAGGGAATTAATTTGTTAGAAAAACTTCCAAAAATGAACATGAATGGAAAGGTCATCTAGAAATTTTCATCCGGCCTGAAGTAATAGACAGTTCTAGGCAATATTTGCTTCTCCGAACAGATATTTTACCGAAAACAGTCGTTAGGTGCCATTGTCATATCAGACAAAACGGGAGCGACAGAAGCCCTATCTGAGTTCTAAACGTAGGGATAAAATTTCACGGTCTTTGGTCCACAGGTGGCCCCAGCCCACGATTCTTAATATTATTATTGTTGTTGCGTCATATTAATTGACTGAAGGAAAAAAAGACGGCAGAATTTCTTACCTTGATTTCATTTGTCAGTTTATTGTGTTGTTCTGGCATTTGCGGCCATTTCACAGCAATTGTAGCAAAAGAGTTTCAGTTGTACAGTTTTTCTTTCCCCCAGTCTTAACCCCCTTCAGACCGCCGAGCAAGAGGGGCGCCTTTGGAGCCCCTCCCCCCCCGGCTAAAAAGTTGAATAACTTCAAAACCGTCGAAGCTAGGACCACCAAACTTAGTGCCTTTTCCTAAAATCTATCTGGGAGCATTTTAAAGTCATCGTGACGTGTACGTCAGCATTGATGTTACCATCAATCATTTTATCAAAGTTACTGCAACTTTTAATGAAATCCAGGCTTCTTAGTGACCAGTTTGAGAAAAAAACATGAGTTCAATCAGGAGCCGATTATATGACCAGATAGCAGATGTTGAGTTAAATTTTAAACGGTGTAAATTTCTCTCGGAATTTCATATTTTGCTCGTTTTTTTATTTGTCTTTTATTTGTTTTGCTTGCTAAACATCCTTTTATACTCAGATTATTAAGTGTTCTGTTAAAAATAACATGATTTATACGGGTTTCAACTAAAATGGAATACATAAAAAATAACTAAAAATGGCGCATCAAAGATGGCAGATGCTTCCAGTTCCTTTTTGGTAATTAATGACGTCATCATGACATCACCGTTATTTTTAAAGACCATTTATGTCTTCGCCAACTTACTTAATTTTATCAGAGACCTTACTATTTAAGTATTTTTCGCTTTATGTCTACCTTTGGATTCTGCCAATAAATTGAACAATATGACGTCATAATGACGACGGATTACGGCATTATGTCAATCAAGTTATGCCTAGAAGTTGGAAATGATGAGTATATTATTGTGTGTAATTTTGGTGGCCGTAGGATGAAAGGTTTTGAAGTTATAGTTATGGCGGAGCTCCACGCGCCCGCGAAGCGCGCGCGTGAACGGAGCCCCATAGCTTAGTAAATCTACCCATCCCAGAAAATTTGGTAACCACGTGACCGTACACCGACCGCCGACCGACCGTCCGACCGCAAAACAGGACAACCAACGTTTACTCTCACACTTTTAAGCTAGTTTGGGAGCCCAAGAGAAAACTAATTGCACATCAATGTTGTGATCAATTGACAGCTGTCAAAACAGGGCATCCGCTGACCAGTATCACCTGACCGTAGCGGGGTCTCAAGTGTCGACCCATCGAGGTCGAGTATTTTTTTGAAGTTATCCGCTGACAAATTACCAGTTTGAAATGATCGCAGGCTCAAGTTTATTTTTTCCAAGGATTCATATCAAATATGTTGTGTTTATGTCACTATGGCCCCGCACTATCAGGATTTTGATTTCAAACTGACTTCGGACTTCAGCCAGTTTTCTTAAAAGTACAGGCGGGGAAGACCTTATCTTACCATGGTCACGCGTTGGTCACGCTCTACGTCCAATTCTTATACTCTGATTGGTCAAAATTTGACAGGTGAGTTCATGCGAAAAAATTATGCAGCATCTTGAAAATTGTTTACTTTGACAGCTGAAGCTGAAGAGTTTTGTGTCAACTTGTGATGTTTTTAACTGTCTTTTTCTTCTGGATGTACAAAATGAAATACAGCTGCTATCAAGAGTCTCCTGTTATTCATGGCTGGTTTGTTTATTGGGTTTTTGGTTGAGAAACGCGTCGCTTGTCGAAATTTGGTAATTCGATTTCGGATGGCATTGTTTTCGTTTTTCACCTTGCTTAATGCGTAAGAGGGTTTAAAAGTCTCAAGCAACTGTGGCCTTCCTTGATAGCTTTCAGGAACTGAATCTCGAATGGTAATTTGTATTTGTATTTGATGTTTGTGTTTGTTGTATCTAATTTCATGAAGTCTTGCACAGTTCACGCTGACAGTTTATGCGGCAAGTTTATGCACGTTTGTAGCCGTAGTTTGAGTCAATGATCTGACCTAGTATCAGGTTTGAACGGTTTGATATAAGCTTACAGAACTTTAAAAAGCCTTCAGATATATTTGCTCACCACAGATAGAAAGAAAACGTTCCGAAGAATATTTAGTTATAAATTTGGCTGTAGAAAGAAAAATTTGAGCGATTTTCTTGCTTCGAGGAGTTCACCTTGGAAAACAGTAAACACCCGCGCCGGGAAGCCGGCTTATAAAGCTTCACGCCGAGACTCAGGATTTTTAGAGACACTTTAATACTTGTCTTCATGAATGAAAATTGTTATCTCTCTAAATGTTTCACCGAATTATATTTCTTTTTTTGATTGTTAGTAGTCTCTCTTGCAATTTTAATCGCTTGCCTGTGCCATCGGTTTTCATCGTTCATGAACATCGCTTGCAGGAGTACTCAAAAATGTCGCACGTATCAAACGCTTTATAAGATTGCAGATCGTTATAACTGAAACCATTAAATAACAAAAAAATAATAATAAATTCGCTACTACGTTGAAGCTTAACTCTATTAAAGTTCATTCAAACACTCGACCACACTGACAGCTCGCACTATAGAAACGAGAACCGGCTGGCCATATGGGTGATTTTGGAAATTTTTGAACGGTTTCGCTTTACGATTGATCGTCCTGAATATTGACTGAGTGCAATTTGTCTTGAAAAATTGTGAAATACTGCATTCTGTCCGAGATCTGTATGATAAATAGTACTGTTTCACCTCAAATGTGATGTATAAAAATGATAAAAGGTTGGTTTAAACACCCCCAGATTTGTTGGCAAGAATTTGTAAAGTAAACCTGTCGAACGCAAAAAAATTCGGCGTGATTTGTTTTCCAAGAATTTGTTTTCGAGGCCTAATCTACTGTTATTTTGAATGTGATCGAAGATGTTTGCTATTTTTTTGGTGTACATATAAGGTTATCAATTCGATGTAAGATGTTTCACTCTAAAATAACTTAGCCTTTCCCTCAAAAGTCACATGAATGTGCCCTTAAGTTTTATGATTTGTGGATTAAAAGTTTATTTTTTGATTTAAATTATAAATTTATTAATTGGAGCTTCGCTTTTAGGCCTGGCTAAATCTATATATTACGGATGTAAATGGTCCAGATTTTCCAGTGTCGCGCATGCAGTGTTTGGCCAATCCTGAAATTAAAGTAGGAAATACTCACCGAAAATGTTAGCCCAAATCGGATAAAAGAACAACCATGTTAGTCCAAATCGGGTCGAAAACAAAACATTTTTACTCAGCACTCGGCCACTTGGATTAACATCACATCGTTATTACATGTTGTGGCATCTTCCCTCGATTCCACACTCCGGCCCAGTCCCTCTCACTCGTTCTTAGTCCTCTACACAAACTATCAAAAATCGACTAACACTGGCGTGAATCAAGGAATGGCTCCTGACTGATATCTGGCTTTTACCGTCATTTTTCTCATTTTGTTTCGCACTCCCAGGCTTTATCCAATTATCCCCTCATCATGTTCCATAACGCAAAAAAGCAGCCACGGTACCCCTACGAAGAAGGTTCAGGGTGGTTTTTGTACCACTGCCTGTTCTAAGGCCTTTTTTATTAGCTGACCATCGAGGCTGCTTCTGCGAATATGCCTTAATTTCCTTTTTCAATCATGAATACAAAGGTTTTTGAATGTGTCAAAACGGCCATTCATGTTGGAATTTCTTGGTTTTTTAATTCAAGCTGACAGACGAGTTGGTGTGTTACAACATTCCTTCATTTCCTTAACTACTAAAAAATAATACAGTTAGCCAAATACAGTCATAAATTTGTGATCTCAAGTCCCGACATGAAGTGTTGAATCGCTGAATACATTGTTTGCTTCTTGGTGATAAATGCATTTATTATTTTGAAGGGCGTAAAGCTTTTCTTCGACACGTTAGAGGCGGAGTCGAACTTCCTGAAATTGTAAGAGATGACAATTACGACTTTAACTTCCAGGTAAGTAGGATTATTAAGCCTAAGTAATACTAAGCCTACGAAACGAACAGAAACAGCCTGCGGCCAAAAAAACTCCCCTTTTTAGATTGTGAATGTACGCGTCAGACCGGGAAAAAGAGAAAGTACTGGGGTTGTTTTATCATTTCATTAACTACAAAGGGTCATTTCTTTTAACAGGAATATCAAGTTTTGAGTAAGGAAGTTCACATCGCTCCGGTAAGAAACTTATAGTGTCTGTGGTTGTCGTACATGTTTTGTATGTAGGTTTACTTCGCCTTTAGTGTATTCTCGCTCCTTTTATAGAGGCTACTCACTCTTTAAATACTGCACGAGTTCCTATTACACCGACCATTTAAACATATTTAAATAGTGTCTCAAGTTGAAACCCTGCCCCTTGAAAAAGCACATTGTATTTTTTTTTTCCTAAGCACGAAAACCCCAGAAAGGTACGGAAAAAAATAACACTGTTCGTGTTAGCTAGGTTGCTGTCGAGCGGCAAGCTGGATCGATGTTGTGTCAAACTGCACCATGGGACTTTCTTGGTCTTTTTTGTGATCTCGAACAACATTGCTCTTTCCACAACAAGAAAATCAATTGCCCTCTATGGTGACTTGCTGAAAAATTCGCAGTTGTTATGGTCGCTGTTTAGTTTGTTGCAGCATTACCTGTATCATTCCGATGTTGCTTTTTGGACTGCTCTTCATTTTTCTCTAAACGTTTACGCGTGACTTTTTAGCTGCAATTCTCCCATTTTCCATTTCTGCATATAATCTTACCGTAAAAACCTTATTCTAAGACAAGTGCAACTTCTAGTACGAGATGTTTTCAAATTTAAGTAATGCGCCTCTCTTGAATCAGCCTCGGTGAGAAAGCCTGGAAGCCGTCGTCATTGTACAACGAGTTTTGGCGAAAATGTCGTAGTGGCAGAAACGAGTTATCAAATGTTAAAAGTGAGAATAGGTGGGCAAAAGCGTAACCTTCTTCAGTAAAAATAACTGTGCAACAGTTTCATCAGAAAAAAGGTAGAACGAAGCTTTCCGGGTTGTCTATGTTTTGCCTTGGAAATCTCGTCCTCGTAGTCATCCTCGACAGTCTCTAGTGTCTTCAACACTTCGAACGGGTTCTTATTTGGCCTTGGTGTTTTATTCTCTGCAACTTCTGTGTTCCGCCAAGGCTTTCTTGATCCGTTTTTAATTTCCAATGATTACATTAGTTTATTAATTTTCTTCTTGACAGTTGCCACGGCTTTTTCAGTCATAGCTTTTATTTCGGGAGAGGAAAAAACGCAGGGCCCTGCTTCATGCACTACCCTGTGACCTGAAAAGGAGTAGCCGTAAAAAAAAAAAAAAAAGAAAAAATGTTGGTCGATGAGATACTTTATGTACTTTCAGTACATGTTAGGACAGTTATCAATCTCGGAGAATGCAAAAGAATGAACTAAAATAACAGAAGAATATATCTGCTTCTATTTTTTGTCAAACAACTGGTTTTTACACTAACAAGTTTTTCTGGCCGGATATCTTCGAATATTTTGTTCATTGAAGTTTAACGGACTATGATAAGCTCCACGTGTGTAACGAGGCAATCGTCTTCTGAAAATGACTATAAAACTATAACAAAGACGTTTTTAAGAGATACTTGATTAAATTTGGCCTTACAATCGATTACAAAATGAAGACGCAAAATAGGAACTTTTTAAAAGTACACGACCTTGCTAAATAGTTCATGACGTGCGTGTTCATGCTGCTACTTTCCTTGACATCCCGGGCTGGGGCATCCGTTTGAGGATAACGGGTAATTTGATTAAAGCCTTCCGTTTGAGGTGGTCAGGGGTTTGTGAAATGCATCGAACTGTAACAATCGGAGAGCTGAGAAGCTAGAATAAAGTAAAGTTATGTACATCGTAATGTTTCATCATGTTAATAAAGTATTTATTTGACCAAAAGTGATTTTTAGGGCCGTAAACCATCTTAGATACTCCATGCATGGAGTAGGGCTCCGCGTTTTGTCTTCTCCCTCCATATCCCGCTATTTTCTTGAGAGTCTTTTCTGTCAATGTCAATCAAATCTGTGTCAGTCCAACCTGTCAGACACTCTTTGCTATGTATTTTCTTGCTCAAAAGCGTCTATCGTTCTCTGACAGAATTCTTTGTCATTCTGAATCAGGGAAGTATGGAGGCTGTTTAGATTTTTCTCTGTTTAATCCAAAATTTGGCCCCTTTGATGCATCTTTCTTCGCCTTGAATGGTTTAAGAGCGAGAATCTCTTGGGAAAAAAATGGCATATCGTTCAGTCCAATCCATGCTTGATCATATCCATTTTTTCTTGCTGCAAGATCTAGACAATACATCTACATTAATTGGTCTTAACGGAGTTAGGAAAAGAAATGAAGAAAACTTACAGAGAGCAATAAATATTTACGGCACACTTTTCCGCCGATCAATGCATAAGAAAGAAACATGTTTTTCGCGAATTTATTCCTCGAAAATATACAGTTCACACAAACGAGTTGAAAATGTATTAGCTTCATAATAAGTCGAGAAAATTCGGAAATTGTGAAAGAATCTTTCTTAAATGAAAATAATTTACTCACGTCTTGGACGAAACGGCAAACACTATTTTTTGACGTCTCAGACAACACTGGGCTATGGTGGGAATTCTCGTTCGAAGGCTACCGGAAGAAGGTCAAGACGCATTATGAACGTCCGCGCGCCGTTTCAGACATCCCCCGTATAAGGCCCCTTTTGGTTAATACAAGGTTGTACTGACGAAGCTGGTTCTAAGTTAGTCCCCCCAAACAGTCCCGTAATGCCATTCGACAAAACACTGAACCAGTCTCAAAATGGGCAATTTAGTACTTTACAATTGCTTGCATTTTCCTCTCTTGACACTTGCCCGTTTATTTATTCATTTGTTATCTTGCAGGGCGATGCCTTGATCAACGTCTGCATTTATGATACTAACGATCGGTTCTTGGCGACCATTGTAGGTTAATGATAATAAAAAACACACACACGCAACAAAACAAACAAACAAACAACCAAAAGAAAGAAAAGAAGAAAATTTTCACTGATTATATGGATGTTTGAACTAGAGGACTACACAGATAGAAAATGTTACTCACAATCCCAGGGGAAAACTCGCACCCTGTAAAAACAACTGCAACACTGAAAAACACTTTTATAATTGCTACTGAGAGTACAGTTAACGTTCTCTATGCGACTTTCGTTGATAGTTGTTGTAACTAGAAGGACCTATTAAGTTGCAATAACTTTTCAGTTAACCTTGCAGCTTTGTCAAAGATCGTGTAATTTTTTTACTTCCTTATTTAACCTGTAACATAGAGTATCACGTTGTCAATCCGGCATACTATTACTGGTAATCGCAAAATGTTTGTTACTCCTATGTGCTTTTTTAGAGTATGAATTATTTACAGGTCTTAACAGAGATTGGTCTTGGTGTATAATTCTCACTTTTACTATATTGAAGCCACCTTAAGTTGATTCTGTTTATACAGTTTAATAGGTTCTTTTTGGTTCTTCTTTTCTCTCATTTTTTTAGGGAGGGTTTTCCACTTATGAAGAAATGTGCTTAACGTTGGTTTTGTATTACCCCAAAGTCGCTCTGTCAAGATGCACTTCAAGTGAATGGCCAGCGGTCTACAGCTGGGCTGGAAAATATGTCAAGTATGCATAAGTAGTGACAGCAGTTTTGGACTAACAAAAACTAGATACCTTACTCGCCATTATGGTAGAGGTCTGCAAGGGCATTAAAACCGGAGGGAAAAGTCTCGAAACGTTTCTATTTCAGTGTGCTAAGGATTCCTTCAGGGGAGCTTATTTTGCATGTATGTAGCTGTTATAGGTCAAAATTATATATTCAGGAGGTTAATATCCTACCATCCCCCGAAGGAGAGGTGAATAGTGGTGGTATACAGTATATACCGAGACGCTATTCACCGACCCTGAGGGGGATAGTTGTTTGTAATAGCATATACCAAATCAGTTGGATAAAATTGAGAAAAAGTAACTTTTTGTAAATTAAAACCGTCACTTAGTGGGAACTTTGTTTACAATTTACAAGCATTTCGGGGACTTTCTCAAGTGAATTTTTTACGATTTTGTTGCAAATTCAGCATGAAAATAATTTTCTGCCCACCGGTAAACACCGACAAGCCAATTTCGTCCCTTTCTTGATATTTGTTTGTACGACTGCTTCATTCTTCGCTCAAATTTCGTCTTCCGAAAACGTCTTGAAACGAGACGCCATCTTGGCTCCGGTCGCCAAGGATATTCCGAGTTACGGGAGCTATTAAATCTAAAAACGCACGAAAATTGCTATTCACTGATTTGGTAAATACTAAAATCTTTTAACCTATAGGTTAATTTTCAATTTACTTTGTCTCCTAGCCCTAAATGTTTCTTGAATAATTAGGGCTAGGAGACAAAGGAAATAAAGAATCAAGTAGGTTTAAAAAAATCAATTTTTTACCTGAATTTAATTTTGACCTGTAACATAACCTAACCATTTTTACTTAGTTGCCATAACCCGTAAATATTACCAGTTTACAGGGTTTAAAAAGGAACTTTCACTGGGAAAACAATGTTCAAGTTCTTAATTTATTCCGGCTTTTCTCAACAAATAGAACAATCTTGTGATAATTTTTTGAATGTTGTAATCAAATCATATAAATTCAAATAACGGCAAACTGGAAATCTAAAATTCATTATTTGCAGTGTGACCCATAAAAAGATCCCATGCTACCACACAATTAACAGTCAAATAAGACAAAATATTTGTTTTGAACACCTCATCGATCGATATATAGGAGACCGGAAATATTGTGTTTAAACAAACTGTGACTATTGCTGCCTGTAACTTTTCTTTCTTTGATGCTTTATTGTGAGCCCAAGATTGTAACTAGAAAATCTTTTTTCGAAACGTTTAAAGACTCTCTTACGGCACTTAAGCTTGTAAAAAAGGGGAACCTTCTTGAATTCCGACGGACAAATTTGTAGGTAAACACGCTCCACACTTTAGCTTGAAATTGGATGTTTAAAGGCAACATCCCAACAACGGCATTTCCTTAATGAAACAGTCAATTTGAGTTTTAAAACACTTATTAATGATCACTTATAGCCAAACTCGTCGTATCTTGCTGAGGTTATTGCAAACTTCAAAGGGATTCTAGGTTTTTCTGTTCCGTCAATTATCTGAATGGGGGCTGGGTTTATACTGACAAATAACCCTTCGCTCGGTCGTGATTCCTACGAGATGGGAAAAACAGATCCGAAATCCAACGTGATCCAAGAGAATTGCTATGAAGAGAAGTATGGAAGATGGCTGGATGGAGGATAGTTGGCATTGCTTTTGTCTTGCAAGTGAGGGAGACATTCGTAGGATCAGAATAATCGTCGAAGCAAAACAGTCGATTGAGTATCACCCGAGAAAGGGAAATATTGATGTATTCTTTTACTTTGGGTCTTGACCTATTATAATATTATTAATTGCAGTCGGGTTTGCTCGTTTCGAATGTTTTTCAAGTCAGACCTGACTGGCCAGACCAGTCCACTGGCATCGGGAGAATTCCACTATTAATCACGACTATCCAGCCAGATCAGCTTATTCAAAAACATGATTTGACGTTTGAAAAGTGTCCTAAGATAACGATATATTTATCAACAGCTCGAGATATTTCAAAATATTGCGAGGGCAGTACTTCAAAGTCTACGGGGATGAGCTGCAATTTCCAGCTTAAATTCCACACTGGAAGAAATTTTTCAATTTTCGTGAGTTGTGGTAACAGATAAAAAATAGAAGTAAGACATTAAAACTCTACTCACGTCCGCTGAGCCGTTTAAAATTTTCATGCCTCGGGCGATATGGTGATAGTTCACTCAATTTAACTGCTTTGTGTCGAAGATTCTCCACTTCTATCTATTAGTAAATAATAAATCTCTAGTAATATCCAGGGACTATATGGGGCATAACATCATGTAGTCGTCACGAAATGTCCTCAGGGCATGTAGGAGTAGGAGGGTTATTCAAGATGGCGGACGTCACGAAATTAATATATTCATATCATTTAGGAGTATGAAGGTTATGGACTCATAGGGTCTTTCTGAATATTGGTCATAAACTTTTATTTAAGTTGGTGGTTCCTAAAAGAACCGTTGATGACTCTTACGATCAATAAACTCATCCTTCCAGTCCGTGGTTTTGTATGCTAATGACTTACAGTAGGCCAAGACAAAGCAGGTGCAAATTCTGCTAAGTCACCTACGAGGTTATCAGTATACGTGCTAGTTTTTCGTTTAATCCCTATTGACGTCATAGTAACATATGCTGGCCTTGAACGACGTTCACCTCAGTCTAAATAAAGTCATGATGATCCCATGTGGGCCTTGACCCATTCTAAATTTAGATATGAAGTCATATTGAACCGCTCTGAAGCGGTTTGAACCGGTTTCAAATAGGTCTATTTCAATAGCGCGTGAACGTTTGCAGAGTCATTCAGTTTCGACTCACTAAAATGGATCCGTTTATTCTCACCCTTACGCAAGATGATTTAGACGATGTGTTATCCATCAGGGTGTGCGCGACTATGTGCTCGAACGGGGGTTTGCCCCTCAAGATTTTTCGATGCGTATGGTTATTCATCATAGTGCGTGAACGCACTTATATACCGGCAGTCCGTTAATACCTCTCACCGACTGGGTAGAAGATATACAGAGATCGCGCGAATGGTTGGATCGACTGGCGAAACAATTAAATTCAGCGGAGGATCTCGATGCAACTAGTGGAGAATTTTTTACTGAATTGGTGTTTGTAAAAAATCGCTGGCGTGGTGCTGGTGCTAATGGCAAAGAATACAACCCTGGAAGAATGTCTTATGAAACCATGCTAAAGAAAAAACGGAGTGTGGTCACCATCAAAAAGAAAGACAAACTTTGTTGTGCGCGGGCCATCGTGACGATGAAAGCCAAAGCAGATCAAGGCCCGCAGTGTCACAACATGATGCATGGACGTCGGTGTCAAGAACATCGTGCCAAGACACTTCATAAAGACGCCGGGTACCTGAAGGTCCGTGCGGTTTAGATGAGCTAAAGCAATTTAAAACCTATTTGGGTCCGGAAGGTTACCAACTGATTGTTCTAGAGGGACTGGAAGGTAAAATTATTTTCAAAGACCGCACGTTTGAACAGGAAGCAAACACCATTACCTTGTTAAGAATGGAAAATCATTCATGGCATCACTACCATCCCCGGTTTCCTGAATCGCGGCTATTTTTGTCGTCACTGCGAAAAGGCTTACAATACCAAAAACTCTTCTCAGCACAACTGCATTGGCCAAAACTGCGCTGCTTGTCTTCGTCAAAACAAGACCTGTCCTAATTTTCCCACGTGGGTGACCCCAGAAGTGCCTTGCCATGTCTGTGGACGACATTTCTATGGAAGAGAATGTTATGAAGCGCATTTGAAAAAACAGTGAGGTAAAATGAGTGTCTGCGAGATGTACGAGAAATGCCCTGAATGCTGTAAAGTGTTTAAAGTGGAAAGAAAAAAGAAACACGTTTGCTTTCAAACCAAATGTCAGAACCGTGGTGAAGTGAAAGAATAACGAGCCGCACCGTCTTAGCAACCAAAAAAATTTTGTTTATCTAGCTGAGATAGGGGACTAAAAGTCCCCTATCTCAGCTGGATACTCAGAAGCTTGTAACATTCACTATTCCATTTATCTCTGATCATATTTCGCATCTAATACGATAGAGGCGTCAATTTTCGCGCCATCATGTCATCATTCTAGGGCGAGAAATTTAATTAATAGCGCGCCATTCAACAAATGTACGGCCTAGGTTTCGGCTAAAATTGTTCAGTGCCGTGAAAGAAAAAAACAAATACAGTCGATCACATTGTTAACACAGACAAAACGTTTAAATATCTCCTACAGAATGAACGGCTGAGTTTGTTTTTTCTACGGGTCAAACTGCTACTATATATCGCAGAAGCACTCAGGCATAATAATATGCCAGGACTTCTACCTAGATGAACCAGAAAGCATATAGAACAACAACCTATTTTTTTTCTTTTTACGGCTACGGGTCGAAATGCTAAACGTGTTATATATCCTAGAAGCGTTCAGGCATAATAATATGCCAGGACTTCTACCTGGATGAACCAGAAAGGATATAGAACAACTGCCTAATTTTTTTTAAAGCTACGGGCGATATGCTAAACGTGGTATATATCCTAGAAGCGCTCAGGCATAATAATATGCCAGGACTTCTACCTGGATGAACCAGAAAGGATATAGAACAACTGCCTAATTCTTTTTTTTTTACAGCTACGGGTTGAAATGCTAAACGTGCTATATATCCTAGAAGCGCTCAGGCATAATAATATGCCAGGACTTCTACCTGGATGAACCAGAAAGGATATAGAACAACTGCCTTTTTTTTCTACGCGTCGAAGTTCTAAACGTGTTATTCTTAGAAGCGCTCAGGCTTAATAATATGCCAGGTTTCCAGCGACTGATTTTAGCTGATTTTGCGGTGTCCAAGAATGGATAATTTACCCGACTAGTAAACAGATATTTCCTTCAGCCGATTGTGTCTCATGCAGGAGAATGTCATGTCTGCGTTGTTTTGTTTCTACTGAAGTTTTATCAAAGAAAGCTTAAGCGAAAATAGGGAGATC